GACTATTGGACATTGCAGTTTGAGGATGGCTCAACCATCCGTAAAACACTAAAGGTATTTTATCACAAGATTATTGCCTAGAGAAATATTGTCCTTTCAAGCAAAACATTGTAATCCATTTGGGCAGAACGCGTGGAAATACATGTTTAAGTCATTTTCATTTTAGTATGTGGGGGCCATGTGCGGTAGATGTTTTGATTTGTCAAGTGCAAACAGCAGCACATGAAATAAAATAAAAGCTCCCAGAGCCAGTTTGTGGTGACTGAGACGAGGCTTAAAACCGGGGGGCCAGGGCCTTCTCTGTGGTCGGACCTAAGCTCTGGAACTCTCTGCCCCACCTCCCCACGTTCCAACAACCCCCACAGCCCCCACAGCGGAGGGTTTTAAGTCTCGTCCTAAAACTCAGTTACTTCCAACATGATCTAATCTAGTATTCATACCTGCTGTTGTCTTTTATGAAAACTGAATACATTGAAAGAATATGTCCATCTTGTTTGTTTTCAATATAAGTAGTAGCAGTAATTCATTCATCTTGTACAGATCTGAGAATTGTCCAGCTCCCAGGCCACATACGGCCGTTTGGTTGACTCTGACCGGCCCGTTTAAGATCATTTAGAATTATAAAATAAACATATTTTATCATTTTACCTCATGCACGGACTAAAGCTGCATTACTTTTATTTTAGAGCTGTTTTTAAATGACATTTTTTGGTTCATTGCTTAGTCATAACATAAACTCTTACCAGTCTGAGCAGGTCAGTCCCCCAGGTCATTTGTTCATTCATTTTCCAAAATAAAACCAAACATAATAAAACGTTCAGTTTTCGATTTTGTCTTTAAATGAATAAAGGAAAAAACTGGTAACGGCTGTTTCCCGTTTACGTGACTTAAACTGTGATACTGAACTGTTGCATCACATAGGGACTGAACCAGGACTAAAACAGGACTATAACAGGATTAAACCAGGTCTAAACCAGGACTAAACCAAGTCTAAACAAGAACTGAACCAGAACTGAACCGAGACTAAACCAGGTCTACTAGGAGTAAATCAGGACTAAACCGGTCTCAATCCCGGTCTCAGTCCCGGTCTCAGTCCCAGTCAGTCCTGATCACCTGACCTCCAGCACCTCCGGCCTGTTCCGACACTCCTGGTTCAGTCCTGGTTCAGTCCTGGTTCAGTCCTCATTTAGTCCTCATTTAGTCCTCGTTTAGTCTTTGTTCAGTCCAGTTTCAGTCCAGTATCACAGTTTAAGTTACGTAAACAGGCCTTTATCCATTTTTTCCATTATTCATTTAAACACAAAATGGGAAACTTAAAAAATTATGACAAATAATGAAGAAAATAGTTTCATTTTTTTATTTCTTATTTTATTTTGAAAAACGAATGATACACAGATTCAGCTCATCAGAACAATGTTATTTACAGCTTTTTATAAAGAAACACATTAATATTATGCAGAACTGACAAGCATTTTAGCCCGGGCCTCCACAATATTTTCTGTTTCTCATGTGGCCAAGGGGAAAAAACAATTGTCCACCACTGATCTTCCATTATACCTGTCTGTACTCAAACACATCAGTGACTTCAAGTTTAAAGGTTGTATAGAGGATTTTTTTAAGGAAGAGAAATACAGCGACAGTCCTTGTGCGCATTCAGAATTACTGTTGAAGTAACCTGTCTAGAAGTAATTCAGCGACCGACGCGTCAGTTTTTAGAGCCTTCGTCTGCTTCGGTCGCGCCATCGCTGGAAGGAATCTCCAAGAATCACCTCAGTTTGGCTTTGCTCCTTTTCCTCTTCTCTTCTTTTTTCAGCGACCTCAAAAACGGACTTTCTTTTGCGGTGAACCGGTCGTGGATTCTCGTCTGCTGTCGCGACAAACTTTGTGCGAAATGCGAGGAAGCGACAGTTCGAAAAAGCCGCTAAGAACCGCTGCATAAACCATGTAATCCTCAGTTACACTAGGGAGTTTGATTGACAACCCAACAGCCAATAGAAAATGAGGGAGCCTCGTTTTCTATTGGCTGATGTTTATCTGGCCTCACTACGTCCATAGTTGATAGATTTTCGTTCTTTTTTTTTTGGTCATCATAATTACAAAGCTGCTGCGTCTCTGTAATGGTATTATAATCTTTCACTGACAGTTTGAAACTAAAAAAAAATCCTCCATACAACCTTTTAGTGCATTACTGTATTTAAAAACCTGCAATGACTATAATGTATTCTAACATAGGGCCAAACTTATGAGAGTGAGTGGAGTTTGACTTTGGCCTTGAGCAGAAGCAAAGTTTGAAAAAAATAAAATGGGTCTCATATGGCTTATAGTCCAGCCTCTGTGTGTAATGTGCGACCAAGCGCTGAACTCCAGTGACCTCATTTTCTCACTTCTCCGGGGTTATATTTGTGTGTGTGTCAGTCTGAACATGCAGAATTCTACTAAATGATGGAAACCAAGACTCATTAGGAGGTGACACTCTCTCTGGTGAAATCCCTCTGAGCGCTGGTCCAGAGTGTAGGTTAGGACCCTCAAGTGGAGCTGTACTCATAGTGATTGGGGTCAAAGTGATGTTTTCACACGTTATAAACATTTCGACGCGTGTTTGTTATTATTCGACTGCAATAAATTCAAAAACACCTAATTCAGTCCAGACGCAATGCCTCAGTAACAGTAATGATAAAATATGTTATCTAATCAAGAGTGGATTTTAAAGGTGCACTGTGGAACTTTTCTGGGAACGCTCACCCACTTTGTCCATGAACATGAGCTCATCTATCTACATGGAGGTGAGTAGGTGGGGCCCGGTCAAGTTACAGGTCACGTCTGTGGAGGGAAGTTATAATTCAGTAATAGTAATTTTATGAATATTTCTTCTGTGTTTTGTTTTCTCAGCTGATCCTGCATGCTTCACTTCGATACTTTCACTTTCAGATCCCAGTTCACATCAAATGTTGAGCACTTACAGCACATCTGTTGAGAGCCGTGAGCCCAGTGACCTTTTCTGAACACTTTCTGAGGGATAGACACTTTTTTCTCCTTTTACTCGGACAAACAGCGATGGAGAATGAGCTCAAACATGACACATATTCTGCTCGTACTTGTGTTGGACCAGGACAGCAGTATACTGAAGGTTAACCTGTCTGTCCATGAATATTAAAAAGGTTCATCTAAACATCTCTTCTTGGAATATCTTGGACAAATAATTCCAGAAAAGTTATAGAACACCTTTAAATGCAAGACAAGTTTTTAATCTATTGCACTAAACTTAATCAATTACAGATTATGTAATCACGAGGACTGCTGAACAATAAATCTCCTCACAATATGACAAAAATTCTTTGAGGTGACGTTCTGGACAGTGAAAATATCTTCATCTGAATGTTCTTTAAACTTTGTAACTAGCATGAACTATTGTTTTTCTTGATCTTCTTTCTCTAATGACCTAAATAAAAAGGAGCAGCCAATTCCTCTTGTAAATTTTAGATAAAAATAGAAAAGATGTTCTAATTTATGTGAGTATTTGTATATCGTGGCTTCTGTTTGACCCCTTTAGGTTCGGTGCATGTGCTGCGTCGAGCCTAAACTGAGTTGTTGTTCCTGGCACGGCCCAAACAAGCATGTCGACGGCAGTTTAACAGAAGATCCATCCAGCTGTGGTCCAATCCCCTGGTCACGTCTGCCTCAGACACCTGCACTGCGCTCACAGCCAGATTTATGCTCCCTATCCTCCTGTGGACATTAGTCCTGTAGCTGTCTGCCTCTGGCTAACAAGGCCCCAGAGCACAGCCAAGAGCCGCCTCTGGACGAGAATGTTCAGGTCAGTGATAAGCAGGTCCTTCTCAGCTGGTTCTTCTGGTTCTATACTAGAGCTGCAAATTAATGAACCTTTCCTGAATAGTTTTAGAATGATGTTGAGCTGTATCAGGAGAAGTATAAGAGCACATAGACTAGTACCGTATTTTCCAGGCTATTAGACGCACTCTTAAGCCTCTAACTGCATCAAAAATCGACTGCACGCCCACAATCCAGAGCCCCTATACACGAATCCACGCGGGTGTCCCAGCACGACTTCAGTAAACTACAAAGCTGCACCACCCACAGAACACACAAACACACACGGAGCAGACAGCGACCGCACAGCGAAACACACCCACAGACACACTCATCACTCCACGCCGACGAGGAACGGAACGAAGGAACGAACTGAAAAGGCAAGTGCAATGTGCCACTTCTAGACACGACTGAACAACTGAGTCACTGCGAACACACCGACAATCCGTTGGTCCCAGACACACCCTCCCTACACGCCACAACTGAACAAAGCCCAGAGTCACCGTGAACGAACAAACAAACAAAACCACTCACCCATCACACTGTTGGGTTTCCTTTAAAGTCCGGTGCAGTTTATTTGTGAAAAAAAGTTCGAAAATAAACCATTTAATGAGCCCCTAATAGCCCGGAAAATATGGTATACACACTTGAACACCATGGAACCTACCTGGACCACTGAGGATTACACACATAAGGCCACTTTATAACACAGAACCATTTCGTGCTGAAAACACATTGTATTGTGCAAATAAAAAGTGTTTTTTATTATCATCTCCGTATTGGAACCAGTATTGAGTATAGTTTATTTCTTAGACTCAAAATTGACTTTGACATTTTAGTATCGTAACTTGAACAGACACAATAAGCCAATTGGGAAGGGTAACATTTTTGACGTACCATAAATTGCTCTTCAAAGAACAAAACATCCTTTGCATAAAACTTCTAACGCTGTAGTTTAGATCTGTACAAACATGTTCTGAAACGTGATTCTTTTATTACTTTGTCCATTCATATTTCAGCCGTTATATCAATACTTCTGGACGCTGAAAATCTGAACTTTAAACAGGATCTTATTATTAAAACATAAATCGCAAAACTAATCAAAACTGCAATTTGATATTTTTCCCCAACGGTTCAGCTCTATTGTACACTAAAGGGCTGGAAGCTCTCACCTTCACATGGGGCTTGGACAGCAGCGCCAGCAGCTCTTTGATCTCTGCGTTGGACGTCTTCCCCTGGAGCTCCTCAGACAGCTGCAACACAAGAGACAAAGTGGTCATGAAGATGAATCATTCTGGATTAAAATGTTATGGAAGTGAGCGAGAAAACTCCTCCTAAACCCTGTGATGTTCTTGTCACAAAGGATTTAGAAAACAAGTTGGAGAGGTAGTTGGAGGTAAAGCTAAAAGACTGCTGCCAAGTTTAGTCTCAGGTGTTTTCGAGATGGACGTTTCCATTTTCAGGTTAACTTCCATCTAGAGAACACAGTGCAGATAAGGACTGAATCTGTCCAAAACAAGGACGTAATGACACACACACGAGAATTACCTCACAAAACTCAAGTTCAAACTCTCAAAAATTGCAAAAGAAATGTTATTCTGTCAACTGGACCAAAGTCTTTAGGAGTGAATAAGTTTCGCCACGATTCACTGACAGGATGATAATAAGTCCCTGATTCAATTTTCTTTTGCAATGGAACCCACCTGGACGACTGCAGGGTTACACAGACACTTGCAAAAATCAATAACAGGGTGTTATTGTGGTTTGGGCAGCAGCCAGACAAACCAAAACAAAGACGCCAACTGTCGAATGTTGACTGTTATTGACTTAGGGCTGAGCAATGCAACAAAAGATCAAGAGTAGCGCCCGACTGATATGTTTTTGTTTTTTTTGCGGACGATATGATACCGATACAATGGGAGATGGAAGTGCCAGTGTAAAAGCTGATAGATTTACTGAAGTAAAAATTCACTATAAACCTTTAGTTGATTATAAAACTTTGGCTTTGGCTCCACTGGATTATAAATTGGGTTTGTTTAGGCGACATTTATTGTTATTCTGCTTCTTTACATCATGTTTAAAAACAGTAGCTTGGCCTAATGGCATTTTTGCATCACATTCTAGCCAGTAAAGAAAGTAAGGAAACTACCGCTATTAACCTGTAGTGGTAAATGTGTGCATGCCATGGTAATTATGCGTCAATGCAGACCATTCACACTTCTATTCACAGCTCATTTACATATCAATACAGGTCCAGTAACGTGTATAGACACTATAGTCACTTTACATTAACCCTAACCTGTTAGAGAAAACATACTGTTTATGTGTGGGAGTTTAGAGCAGGTAAGAGCTAAACAATGAGAAAGAACCAAAAATAGCTTCAAAAACTGACATATTTGTAACTCACACTGGCTCCTCTCACATCATCCTGATTCAAAACAATCATCCATAAATATATTATAATCCAGCATATTGACAGCAACTATGGGTGTAAACAAGCACACGTGAGTAACATGACTCTGGGAGTGCGTTCAGGGGCAGTACGACGTCACAAACACAGTCCAATTAGATCAATATTGATGCGGCGCCACATATTAGGAGATTTATCTGTCTGTGAATTGGATTAAATGGACATAACATATAGAGTCTAAATTTTATGTAAGCAGAGCAGGGCCTGGTTAGTACTTGGATGGGAGACACTGGGAATTCCAGGTGCCACAGGGGGGGCGCCAGTCGCAAAAACTGTCATTGTGTCCTTAGGCAAGACGCTTCACCCACATTGCCTAGTATGAAAGTGGTGTGAGTGTGAGTGATGGTGGTGGTCGGAGGGGCCGATGGCGCAGATTGGCAGCCTTGCTTCTGTCAGTCTGCCCCACTGCAGCTGTGACTACAATAGTAGTTTACCACCACTGAGTGTTGAGTGAATGAATAATGAACTGTAAAGTGCTTTGGGGTTCTTGAAAGGCACTATATAAATGCAATGATTAATTTATTGATTTATTTATAACGTGGTATAATATGCCCATGTGGACGATATGTCTCCAAGTGCCCATATCGGCCAACCGATATGGGCAGGCCCTAATCAAGAGATTGAAAGATTGGACAAGATTTAAAGCCAGTAATTTTGGTTTAAATTACACAGAATAGACGTCTGTATTGTTTATGTAAATGAAATCAAAAGTAGGAAGCATTTAAATTTAGTTTTTGTAAAGACTAAATAAAATTTTATCAAAAATTAAGACTGATCAAAATTTGGATTTATTTATTTTTTTTCCATATCATATCGTCCAGCTCTTATATTGACGCTATTTTATGTAAACATTTTAGCAGAAGTTTGGTGTATCTACTTGCTCTGTTATTGTGACCCTTGACAACCTTTGTACCTTTTCCTGACCCAATGTGTTTGGATTTAATTTTGATGGTTTAAGATTCAGTAAAAAGTGTAAGTGGAACTATTCTAGTTGTCTACACCGATATGATAAACCTGTTGAGGAGAAAGGAAGCTTCAAAGCCGTAAAGACGAGCTGAAACTGAACAGAGTCAAAATCTTGTTTCAGATGATTTCTCGCCTTTCAGCACAGATTATTGGACGCCTCTTCAGATCTCCCTCTGCACTATTTATGAGTCTAGCATGCACCTGTGATCCTCCTCTGCGTCACACTCAGGAGCACTTCTTAAATTAAAGAAAAAAAACCCAACAAAAACAAGTTCTGCCAAAGAAGTGACAGAAATCAATCAGATTTTTGGATTTCTTTTCAAAGGTCATGTCTAACTTACACCAAAAATGACATTCTAGTTTTGGAAATAAGCAAGAGAATGTGGTCATGTGATGTCGTAGCATTCTTTGAGGCTTGCGCAGAGTTTAAAAGTCACACAAAATGGATTCTTGTGAGTTTTAGGCCATGTTATAATGATGTTAACTGCTCAAAAACATATGTGCAGTTGTGTTTCGTTTCATCCACACATGTTTGAGTAATTCTTTATTATTAGTCTGTCTACATCTCCTTGTGATGTCATGAAGCAGAAGTTTTCAAGTCAACAGCTCTGTCTTTAGTTCAGTAGAGATCGGCAGCTCCAAATGATTCTATTGAAGGTGTATGGAGTTCAAAAACACAGTGGAGCACTTCCTGTATTACCACATGAAATCACATGATAGAACAGAGTGTTTTCTGTTTGAGAGAAGAGAAGTCTGTGACCTCAAGTCCAAGTCAAGTCCCAAGTCAAAGACAGGCAAGATCAAGTCGAGTCTCGAGTCACTGGCCCATAAGTCCCAAACAAGTCCAAGTCGTTAAGTCTGCTTTGAGCTTTAAGTAATTTCAAGTCTTTTAAACCAAAGTATTTAGAAAACAAAGTACTTGTACTTAGAAAGTCATGGTATATTTATATGAGTATTTATATAAGAGTTGTAGAAATGCAAAATCTTGAATCATTAGAGTCAGAATAGAAAGAGTTAAGATTTAAAGTGCTTAATAACTGTTATTTTGTCATGTTGTCTGCACTGAAATGGGAGGATCATGTTCTATGTAGTTCCCTCTGTTTTACTGTATTGTACTGTATATTACTGTATTGCACTGTATATTACTGTAGTACATTTGAGGATACACATCACAGTACTTCAGTTCCATCCAAAGTAACAAACAGAAGTGGGAAGGACATGTTCCAGTTTGCTCCTGTAAAATTCAGTGCTGCATTTATCAACTGAAAAGAGAAAAGGATTTTCTCAAAGCATATTTCTTTTTAGGAGAAGCATCAAATCTGAGTCAGGTCCCAAGTCATTGACCTTCAAGTCCAAGTCGAGTCCCAAATCTCTGTCTATTTTATCAAGTCAAGTCTCAAGTCCTAAAAATAGTGGCTAAAGTCTGACTCGAGTCCAAGTCACGATTTGCAAGTCTCCAGGTCTGATGTTTGTGATGAGGAAACAACATTATAAAATATGTTAATGATAACTTCCATGAGCTAATGCAAATGCAGATTCAATTCATTTATGTGTATGTTTAATATCCTTTCTCAATCTACCTACTCTTTTGTAACAAGCAGTGTCCATATTAAGGCAGCATCTGATGTTGCTTCATTTTTTAATGATTGTCAGGCTGTTCAGTGTCCTTGGAATTGCCATTTGTTATTGACTTGAATGGAATGAGAAATTCAAAAATATGTTCAAAACAAGTGTGTGTCCACTGATGGAGTTACCAAAAGAAAAAGGTTTTCCTAGGTATGTTGGCAAGGCTGTGCTGTGGCCTAGTGTCGGTATTTATTTGGTATTAGGTGTCTGAGTTCTGTGTTTAAAGTGGGACAAGCACTAGAGGCAACACACTGTCAGCTTTTTACTGCTGCAAATGTACCTACTTTGCACAAAATAACACCGTATACACAATTTGGTACACACTTTAAATGTTTGCTTGAAAGTTTTTGTCCCCACCTTTTTTTATTTTTGTTCTCACTTTTTATTCGAATGTTACGTTACTTTTGGTTTGTTATATTACACTTGAATCATATGTTAAACTAGTCTTCCTCAACAGTCTTAGTTTGATCTTTAAAGGTACACTGTGTAACTTGTCTGCTGAAGGGCCTGTCACCTGCTTGTCGCTATGGAGATGTACCTAAAATGTTCCACAGTATGGCCATAAACATATGAATTTCCATGGAGTGCACCATATTCCTATAACCTCTTGTATAAAGTTGAGATTTTATATTTTATTACTTATTTTTCTGTTTTATTTTGATTTGTACATTTACATTAGGGTCTGGTCAAGTGTTAACGGAGGGAAACAGGGTCAGATTTTTGACATTCAAATGTCTCTTATTCAGAAACTAGAGGGACTATTGAAATAAGTAAAGTATCAGAATGTAGGAAAGAGTTACACTCCAACAGGGTCAAGTTAAACCTGTGATATTCTTTCAAGTTGTTGATAAAAAATTTAAAAACTCATGTCGGTAACAGAGGGAATGAAATATGCAGCACTTTTTGGGCAATAAATCCAAACAGTGATAACTCTTGGTTCTCACTTCCATATCCTTAACAAACTGGTTTGAATATTTGCTTCATATAGTTTTCTACCATATGGTACAAGATTAGGTTGAAAAACCTCTTACTTTTTGACTCATGAGATTTTTTATTAAGAAAGGTCATGGTAACGGAGGGAAAAGTAACGGAGGGAAAATTGTGTAAACAAGTAGAAGGTATGAGTTTTAAAATTTTTTGTCAACAACTTGAAAGAATATCACAGGTTTAACTTGACCCTGTTGGAGTGTA